GCACAAATTTAAAAACATCATAAAAGATCTTGACGTTAGGCTTTCTTACTGCAATCTTAATAAATTGTCATGCTTTATTAGGGTACACAAGGACGTCCTTCCCAGTGCATCTTGCACTAATGTCATCTATATGATCAATTGTGCAGATTGTGATGCATCTTATGTAGGTCAGACAAGCAGGAGACTACAGACGAGAATCGGGGAACACCGCAACCACATACGTAGAAATACAACTGTTGGTTCGGTGATTACAGAGCATAGATTAGAGTTTGACCATGATTTCGACTGGAACCATGTTCGGATTTTGGACAGCGAAAAATATCTAAACAAACGACTGATATCTGAGATGTTGTTCATAAGGAGACAAATTAATGGTCTGAATCTGCAAACGGATACCGAGGGCTTGCACCAGACATATATTACTTCGTTGGATAAACTTCCCAACATTTAATGCATAGATGATCTTTGTGATTATTTTCAAGACGCGTATATTTTGATTTCTTCATTGCCGATATAAATACATATTCGTTCGTGTAGCGAGTTGTTGTGTTTACTCTTATGTCATCGAGGGCCAATGACCTAGCACTGTATACACACAAGTTTAAAGTCTCGTGAAACTTCTTAGATATAACCTGGTCTTTAAAGCTTTACGGATTAATAATTGTATCGCGTCATATATTCTTTATTGGGATACATCTGTTGCATTTGTATATAAGTTTTGCACTATCACGGTTTACCCTTGAGCACTCTTAACTTCTTATTGCACGCTCCTACAGGAATCTCGACTTTTCGGATTTCGCATATCAACATGCCGGCAAGCCTTCATAACATTTTACGATGTGAACTTCCTGGCCTATCACCCGGGGAGTTCGTCATCCCGGGATGCCTGTTTGAGCGAGTTCGTGCGTTTGCAATTTAATTTTTAATCAATGACTGCGATATTTTTTTATACATATATTTTTTAATGTATTTATTTATTCATGTAATTATTATTTTAATTGCGCTGAAGATGGCCACAAAAAAAAGGCCGAAACGTTCGCTTTATCATCATATGTTGTTTAGTATCACTTTGTTAACCGTTTTAATTTGAAATTTGTCAATTGCCTTCACACAATTAATAAATCTCTCAACGTGATACTTTTGGCCCATATTGCCTTTTTATTTGCTTACATTTATTATTAATTTATTATCATATAGAAAAACAATAACAGAAAGAATAAAAGTCGAACAAATAAAAAATTATAATAATGGGAATGAAAGAATACAATAATATTTTAAGTAGGTTACGAAGGACAAAGTCCCTCGCCTCTACATAAAATATTTACTACTTCTACATTTTTTATACCGGAAATAAGTTGGCGCTGGAAGTTCATATTTTTTAATAATTTATAGCTCAAACGATTGCTCCTTAATTGCTCCGTCAGAATCCACAATTGCTCTCCTTTTAAAATTAGTAGTTTTCGAAATATTTAAAAAAAACGTAAAATTTATTATTTTCACTCAAAAGCATATTTCCAATAGTTTTTTGCAACTATATCCAGTATAAAACGATTGCTCCTTAATTGCTTCGCATTGCTCCATCATTATTTTCATGATTTATTGCATTTTTCATCGAAAATTAACAAATTAATAATTTTCCAAGCGACGCCTTTGCTACCTGTCGGCCGTCTATCGGAACTATATGGCTCAGAAGCCAACGGCGAGAATATTTAAACATAATATAACATAAAACGATTGCTCCTTAATTGCTTCGCATTGCTCCATCATTATTTTCATGATTTATTGCATTTTTTAACGAAAATTAACAAATTAATCATTTCCCTAGCGACACCGTTGTCACCTATCGGCCACCTATCGGAACTATATAGCTCACAAGGGGACGGCCAGACGTGCCAATCTCAGATTCAAGCGGTGATTTTTCTATGAATAGTCCTTAATGAGAAAGAAATTGTGTTAAAGTTTTAGCGCGCGCTTTTCACGCATTCGTCCAAAAAATATTATGAAAGATTTTCCAGTACTAAATTGCTTTTTATAAAAAACAGGAGAAAATGAACAATGTTTAATATAATCGTCAGAAATATGTTAATTAGTAAAATAATAATTATATAAACAACAAATTCACAATGCCCTATAAATAAAAATATTTCGTTTAAATTTCATGCGTTAAGTCGTGCTGGAAAATCTTTCATAATTTCTATCGGCCGCCTATCGAAACTATATGGCTCAGAAGCCAACAGCGAAAATATTCAAACATAATATAACATAATACGATTGCTACTTAATTGCTTCGCATTGCTCCATCATTATTTTCATGATTTATTGCATTTTTTATTGAAAATTAGCAAATTAATCATTTCCCTAGCGACACCGTTGTCACCTATCGGCCGCCTATCGGAACTATATGGCTCAGCAGCCAACGGCGAGAATATTCAAACATAATATGACAGCTCTATTGTTTATAACCAGAGAGAAGAATGAGAGTCGCCACGCTGCCGTTTTTCGTGTAACGCTTTTTCTAGGTCGTACACACCGGAAATAAGTTGGCGCTGGAAGTTCATATTTTTTAATAATTTATAGCTCAAACGATTGCTCCTTAATTGCTCCGTCAGAATCCACAATTGCTCCCCTTTTAAAATTAGTAGTTTTCGAAATATTTACAAAAAACGTAAAATTTATCATTTTCACTCAAAAACATATTTCCAATAGTTTTTTGCAAATATATCCAGTATAAAACGATTGCTCCTTAATTGCTCCATATTGCTCCATAATTATTTTCATGATTTATTGCATTTTTCATCGAAAATTAACAAATTAATCATTTATTCTTATAAAGTGGGCGCTTATTAGCCTTGTTGCATTACTGCTGTCACGAGAGGCCAGAAAGCATTTTCAGGCCGTATTTCGGCCGTAAGCAATACGCTAGAGGAACAAGGATAGCACGCGATTGTCGCTCCTTGTCTGACATCTCCCAACAATCGCATCCGTGTGCTCAACGTGTCGGTGTGTGCCTTCACGGACGCTACACACATACGCGATGAAAGAGAGACAAAGACAGCGCATCATCTCTCTTTGTCAAACGATCAGTGTACTACCAGCATCGACAATATCGAAAAGTGGATGTAGCACGGATATGAACCAAAATCGAAAAGTGGATGTAGCGCGGACATGAACCAATCGGCTGTTTTGTCGGCTCCGAAAGTGGATGTGGCCATGTAGTTCCAGGCGGCGTAAAATGGATGTACGTGACGCTAGTGTACGATCTAGAAAAAGCGTTACACGAAAAACGGCAGCGTGGCGACTCTCATTCTTCTCTCTGTCAAATCAAAAAATGGTTCAGGACTTTTCGATTTGGATTGTTATCCTATATCTGATGGTGTGCTCCTGTTTTTTCAGTTACACCCCGTATATAAAATACGTATGTATAGAAAGAGAATTGGCCAACTTTTAACTTTTTTTGGTAATCCCAATTGCCAAAAGCGCAACCGGAAATAGCACTTTTCAACTAGTAGTTGCTATCCTTCGCAATTGGCGACGGAGCATTTGCGACGTATTGTAAAATGGCCCTGAAGATCAGTCTTGCGTAGGATCGGAATTTAAAGAAAGAGATTGGAGCGACCACTTGTTGCCCAGCACTGACTATGGACTGTCTACTACGACACTGTCCCAGCGCAGCTGAAACACACATGGACATCCATGGCACGTTTCTTTCATATTTATACAAATCACATATTTTATGTTTCTAAAGAGAATTTTAAAAAACTATTATATATATATCTTCATATACATATGAATTTAATAGAATATTTTATATTTGAAAGAAATGCAAGCAATTGATAAATTTTCTAAGTAGAATATAGTACATTTCTCTGTGTTCGAGGTTGTACTGCTAATCTAACATTACCCAGTGTATCTGATGGACCAGCTATGCCGGGCGTTGGCATTTTAACACCTCTACCAATATCTTGGCCAGATAAGCATCAAAAGCATCAAAAGTCCTTCTCATCTCAGATAGCCTCAGATTATTTGATCGAGTTACAGATAGAATCGCTAATAAAAAAAATATGTAATACAGATAAGTAAAAAATTATCGCGCAAGAAATGTCAAACTTTATAAAAAAAATTTTTCTACATTACCTTGCAGAGAATTAGACCTGTTTCTTATCGCTTGTCTTATGTTCAAACAAAATCGACAGTCACTTTGATTATGGTGTCTTAAGGGTCGACAGGAGTGACGGTGGAGACCTCTCGCGGGAAGCCGTGAATTACGAATTCGTAGTCTACGTCCTACAGCCAAAATAAAGAGAAAATCGGATTCTAATAATGATATTCGTATTCAGCAGCATCGTCTTTTTAGACGTACAGAGCGTTTTTTTGAAAAAATGATCAAAATAAAAATTCTAATATTGACAAACAACATACAGCTGATTGTGGATCAGGTGTAGTTGCTCTCGAATTCATATTATATTTTTATTATAAATTTTTAAGAGCCAAATTGCAAAATCCGGCTCTGTACGACTAATTCTAACGATGTAAGGAATACATCAAAACAAGTTTCATGAAAAAATATTAATTTTTCGAGATGTAGGACGAAGACTACGAATTTCACCACATCTGTATCTAAAGTGCAGCTAATAGCAGAACATGGGGAATATTCCGTAGTGGCACACTGACTGCTTGACAAAGAGAGATGATTACGCTCTCTTTGTCTCTCTTTCATTGCATATGCATAGCGTCCGTGAAAGCATACCGATATGTTGAGCACACGGAAGCGATTGTTGGGAGATAATGTCAGACAAGGAGCGACAATCGCATGCTATCCTTGTTCCTCTAGCGTATTGCTTTACGGCCGAAATATGGCCTGAACCTAAATATGCTTTTTGGCCTCTCGTGGCAAAAAGCAGTAATGCAACATGACTAACGGGCGCCCATTCTTTGAGAATTTTATATTTACGTATATACATATATGCATATATATGTTTAAATTATAGTTAAAATTATACGTGCAATTAAATATTGTATGATGATCAATAATAATATAGATAGCAGAGTGAATAAATATACAATATGTAAGACACGGGTGCCTGTTAACTTTGTGAGATTTGTTGCTTTGTTACTATCGATATTTCGTTTATCATATTAGCGGGATAGAGAAATAGCATGATTGTCAATTCTTGTTTGATATTACATTATCTTTTAACAGTCTTAATTGTAAACAATTATATTATATATTTATAGACAATTATATTATCTTTCTTCAATTGTACCGATGGCTCTATCATGCTGACAATACATAAAGTATCAATGAAAAAGCAACAAGTAAAAAGGCAATAAATTGCCAAGTCTAAAAAGTGCCCGTATCTTTTACACGTTGTATATTAGTTCACTCTATTAGCTATTATTCTACTAATATTATTTATCATTGTGCAATTTTGAAACATATGTAACATTTCTATATACTATTGGTATATATCTGTACATATGCGCATAAGTAAACATAAAATTTATAAAAAGTGGGCGCCCATTAGTCTTGTTGCATTACTGCTTTCTGCTACGAGAGGCAAAAAAGCATTTTCAGGCCATATCTCGGCCGTAAAGCGATACGCTAGAGGAACAAGGATAGCGTGATCGTTGATCCTTTTCTATCTTTCCTCTCCACGGTGCGTCCACGCGAGCAATGCAATCGTGTGTGAGGGTATACAGACATACACCTATACATCGAGACTGAGAATTCATTCCTCAGCGTTGGTAACCCTGAAACCTGAGTTTCACATTTTCACCGCGCGAGGTCTTCAATGTCAATTCGGAGTTTGCCCGTCAGCAGAGAGAAGAATGAGAGTCACCACGCTGGCGTTTTTCGTAAGACGCTTTTTCTAGGTCGTACACTAGCGTCACGTACATCCATTTTACGCCGCCTGGAACTACATTCTCACATTCACTTTCGGAGCCATACATTCTTATCATTTCAGTTGGAACCCTGCTAATTTTAACCGTCGGTTAATCTAACCGAGCTTGGTGAAATTGGCCCTAAAACAGCCAATTGGTTCGTGTCCGTACATCCACTTTTCGATACTGTCGATGCTGGTAATACACTGATCGTTTGACAAAGAGAGATGATTGCGCTGTCTTTGTCTCTCTTTCATCGCGTATGTGTGTAGCGTCCGTGAAGGCACACACCATAGACATATAGAATGGACTGAGCGTTGCGACAGACAAACGCGCGCTCGCTGTAGAAAGAGAGATACTACATGAGAGGCTTAGAACATATGTATAATATGCCAGTCATTTTCGGATTAAAAGAACGAAATAATTTATTCAATCGAAATCTATCGCGCGAGTGGTCAAAGTGAGAACATATTTTCAGATATTACATTCTGTGGAATTTAATTTTAACTCATAAATGTATTCTTTATCAAAATAGTAATAATGTAAATTAAATAATTGTAACATAATAATAATCCCAAAATAAAAGCATGTGCTACTTATTAATAACAAATATAAATTTTTTAATAAAAGATAAAACATATTTTTTATCTGTTATAATTGTCATCTCATATATGTAAAAAGTGTTTCTTACACATTTTGTTATAAATATCGAATTTTACAAACCATATCATTATTTTCTCTAGAGAATTGTTTTGATTTGCGCTAACAATAAATATTGAAGCACTCATTTCGTTATCACGCAAGTAATGAAATCTTAATTGAAGCAAAAAACGCAACGGTAAAGTAATGCGTGTTCTCCGTGGGAAAGGATGGCAAAGAATCTTAACGGACGCGGATTATACCCGAAGAAGGGCGTTGTTAGTAACAATTAAAGCGCGTACGCACGGATGTGGTTTATAACCGAATATCGTCGGACTTTATAGATCCTGAGAGTATGTAGTCACCGCGAGATCTCTCGTAGAAAATACGCTTCGGGCTGTTGACTCGTTCACGCAATTACTTCAATAATAATTGCGCGATAATTGCTCCTAAGAATCTTGTATTGGCTTAATCTGACAGTGACCGGTGTATACTTGGGAGATACAGCTACGATAATTAGTTTGGTACTCGTACCACTATCGATTACTTTCTTTCGCGACTATCCCCGTTACTATCATTATTAATCACAAAAATACTTATTACAAGATATAAACATGATGATAAACCACATTGCTGAGTCATATAAATAGATTAAAAAAAAAGAATAAGTGCTTTCGCTTTTATTTTAAATATAAACATCGAAAAAACATGAATAAATATTAATTTTTTTGTTTAATGTGTCTCTTGATATAAAATTTAGGCACGACTTCTTGTCTTCCCCAGTTTACGGAAACATAAAATAATAAAGATTCACAGACGTGAGTCACAAATAATATCTCTGTTGAATTTTATATTAACCATGCGAAAACCAAACGTGAGAGAATATAGTCTCAATATCCGCAAATATAAACTATTACGTTAGCAATCTTACTTGTACGTGGTTATATGGCCATGCCTGCGCGTTTTATACGGATAATACGGCAAAAACTTGCGTGCGGTATAGGCAGCAATATTTTCGCACTTGTCACGTCGAAAAATCGTAAAAGCTGAAATTATCTGCGCCTGGCGCGGGCAACCGCAGAACAATGCAACCGCAATGTATTGCTCTTCAGCCAGCCACGGTTATTTCATTACAAGTCACTATAGCTCGTACTCTCTCCTGCAGATGCAATTTGAATCCGATTATTTGTAAGGGCGGATTTGCCGGGCCAATGCAATAAACGCAAATAGAAGTGTTTTATCGGTTTAACTTTACGCGAGAACATAATTTTTTATAATTCATAATCTGCAAACGCCAGAAATCTTAAATTTTTTTTTAATAATTAAGATGTTATAAGGAGAAACTTTTTTTGTAAAAAAACAGATATTTAGAGAGATTTCTTGGAAACATTCGGCAATTGAAAGATTCCGTACCGTTTAAAAATCGATTAGTTTGATATAACAATTATTTAAAACGACTTCATGCGTTTCAATTTTGGAATTAAGTATAATTTTACACAGCTCTATCAGCACGCTTTTTAGAAAAAAAATTAATAATTTAACTTTAATAAATTATATA